AACTCAGTGACATACAGATGAGTTTCTGTGAGAGTGTGAATCAAGCAGATTTCTGGACACAGTTGTGTGAGGAATCTGAGAGACTCTTTAGAAATGAAAGTGATGAGTTGAATTATAAACAACAATGGCTTCAAATCAACCTCATCGCACTGATGGACCAGAGAAATGATAATAGGATAAACGACACAGGTAAATATTCATTAACCAGCATGCAAAATATGTATTATTCAGAGTATTTGAATGAAACAATGTTCAACATTTTAAATAATATCACTGTCAAATTGAATGAATTTTGTCATATTATGTGTGTGTATTTAGATCTTCATGTTCTTCAGTGGAGACACGGCTGTGCGGTTGAACTTCTCTCTAACGGTTCAGTAATATTTCTTCAAGGCACTGATGAATATGCCTATGATGGAGAGACTTTGACCTTTAACCTCTCTATGCTCTGGAAACCTTTAGTCCTTGATCATGGCTTCATCTGGAACAGAGAATCAGTCTGGAGAGGAAATGTGTGGAAACGTTAACCAGCTTCACTGACCTTCAACAAGAGGGAAAATTCATCACAGCATGTGAGTTTATCTCACTACTCAGTTGTTCACATAAGAATCTGTAGGATTATCGTTTGAATGAGTTTTTTCATGGTGGTTTATTATTTCAGTGAATCGTGTCTGTGTGTCCTGCAGCTCGTCCTGAGGTTTACTCTTCTGTAAAAGCGTCTGGATCATTAGGCCAGCAGGTTCTGGTGTGTTTGGCCACAGGCTTCTACCCTAAACATGCGCAGATGGAGATCAGACGCGATCAGACGCCGTTACCTGATGAGCAGCTGAACTCGCACGGAATCAGACCAAACACAGACAGATCCTTTCAGCTGATGAAGAGCCTGCAGATCCTGCCGTCTGATAGATCTCACTTATCAGTGTGTGGTGAAGCACCAGACTCTGACTGAACCACTATCAGCTGGGGTTACGTGATGATGATTATTATGAAGATTATTATGACATGGATTACAGCGATGGGTATTTTGTGTTAAATGATTTAGAGGATTTCACTAAAAGTAGCCTGTGGGTGTTAGGTGCAGTCTTTGGACTCATAGTTAATTTGATCATTGTTGCTGTTCTCTTATCCATTGTTTTCCCATTTTGTCAACTGAGAAAATACACTCTCAGAAAAAAAGGTACAAAAGCTGTCACTGGGGC